CCAAGCTGTTTGCATTTGGGGCTTTTTCTTTTTCCTTGTCTCAGTGAATCTAAAGGAGATATTTAGCTCCTAATAGTTCTCATTTCAATTCAGTGAGGCATAAGATTTGTACAGAATATGGCTTTAGTGGAAATGTTAATGATTTGTGAGGAAGATGCGGGACACCTTGTAGCCCTGGTGCTTGATCATGTTAAAAATTTAAAGAGTAGAAAGAATATTTTAGGAGGTGGGGTTTTGATCCAGCTGAACAGCAAGTTCTGCTTCCATTTGCCATTGTTCTGAATGTAGTCTGTTTTTCTTTAGTATATCATGCAGTTCATTATTTACAGAGTCTGTTAAATTTCCACCACAATAAACCAGATGATGCATTCCTTTGTCAAGTAATTACTTACAAAAAGGGGGATATATATATATATATGTATAGGGGTTTTAATTAGTTAAATGTATAAAATAAGAAAACTCTTGAAGATTTTTATGCTATATATAACTGTCATGAGGTATTAGCCTATCAATCATAGTAATACATAAATTAAGCTGTCAGGGAATTTTCCTGTACCTTTTTAGTTTTAAATATAAATAAAGTGCATGTAATGAGCACTGTTGCTAAAAAAAGGAATTCTTTTTGAGATTGTGTTGTATCTGTAATGTACTAAGATAATTCCTGGTGTAATCCCATTGCTCCTGTTTGGTTACACTATCAAAAACTTTGAACCATGAAATTTGAAGCAAGTATGTCTTTCCAAGAGTAATTTAAGTCATTAATGAGTGAGTGTCTCTAACATTAGAGAGTAACAGTCTTTAACATTTCCACTTTGGTCTGCCCAGAGGAACCACTAAGAACTCAATATCAGCCAAACTGTTTTACTAATTTACAGGCATACAAGTCTCCATATACAGACTTCTATTCTGTGAAACAATTTAAGGTGTAGACATCGTGAATGGCTTTGCTGCTTAATTATAAACGTTTTTTTGACCCTTTGACTTAGAAGTCCCTTCTGTGAAAATTTGGCCTTAACAGATGCTGCCAAAGTTAGAATGACAACCAAAAGATTGTCTCTGCATATACACCTTAGTATTTTAAAAATAAATAAGAAAAAAAAAGATATGTGCTCATTCATGATGCAGCTGATAATCTGGATCAGATTCAACCCAGAGAATATTTTAATTTTTTCTTACTGGCCTTTTACCCTGATGAGAAGAGAAAATGGGATTGAGACATCTTGGTAAGCTTGAATGTCCTTGCACCACAGCTGTACAGCAGTTTCTATGAAGGGAAGAGGGAATCAAGACAGAAGTTTATTTAAGGAATGTGTGTGTGCTGTTGCTTGTTGTGAGAGCAGCAAATGTAGGGAATAGACAGTGGTTATGGGTGTCCATGAATATGCAGGGATCCCCGTATGGCACTGACTGTTTTTTGTGACTGAGAGGATATATATGATGTCTGAGGTATTGTAGGTGAGTGTCCATAATAAAGAATGGAAAAGATTAAGGAAATGTGAATATGTTGTAGCTGTAATTCAAAACAGTAATACAGAGATAAAGTGGCACTTGATCAATATAATTTTGAAGAGTTTCTAAAGATAATTTGGGAAGGAAGTGGAAAAGTCAAATAGCTATGCTCTTTCTAAGGGATTAACAAAAAAGCTCAAATGAAGTTTACATACTGTAAAGTGACATATTGGGAAGATAACTGGGAGGAATGCTGCAAAATAAATAAGAATGGAAATCTAGTAATGCATGATACCTACATGATAGGGAACAGCAGGTGGTCCAAAGAAAGGTAAGCTGAATGTCTGATGATTCTGTTACTGTAGAATAAGTACAATATTCCAAGTACTGACGAAGATGAAGAGTTCCAATTTTTTTCCTTCAGTGTAACCAGAATTGAACAGGGAGAAGGCTATAAGCTCTAGCTCCTGTGGCTTCCTAAGGATAGTAAGTACAGTTTTAGAAAGTCTTAATGGAAGCCCTGACTTTTAATGCACTTTGAGTTTTGTTTTGTAAAAGGGCTGTGAGCCCAACAATTCTTGTTGAGTGCTTGGACACATGTACTTAACATGCCAGGACTGATTGCACTTTCAGTGAATCGTGGTTGAGTAATTGAAGTGGGATGCAAGAGGTCACTGTTGCATTTTCTCCATTGTGTACTTTGATCCAAACCACTCTGGGATCCAGGAAAGTGCAGAAGGATGACCCCAGGGGAAATTACTTGTTCAGAGCAATGTTGACTTCATTTAAACACCTTCATTCCTGAACCACGTGCATCAATGTGTTCTTATCTGTAAGAAAAGTCAAACAAAAAGCCCACTTTCTGATATTTTCTCAATACCGTACTGTCCCCAACCCTGTATGTAAAATTAGTGTACTAAAGTATTTTTTTTCTCTGTTAGAATGTAGATTGTGGTCATTTGTACTATGCACTTAGCTTTCCTTTAGAAGAAAAGTGCAGTCACAGGCTCTCATAAAGGATAAAAATGCATTGCTTGGCAGAAGACCACAAATTATGAAAGTTCCTCTGCAGGGCAGCTAAGCCCTTTCCCTGTTGTTTGAGTGCTTTAGTGTTTAGGTGGAATATTGCACACATTTTTTTTTCATTCTTCTGATATGCAAAATAGTCTGAAGGTTTCCTGGTTTTGTTCAGCTGGATTTTTGCATGCTTTGCACACTTTGAAAATTTCAATGAAATGTGCAAATGGCGATGCATTACTGTCTGGAGCTGAGGCACAGCAGATAGGTGCTATACCTCCTGTGGTATCATGTGGTGTTAGAACACTGAGCAATAACATGTAGATAGCTTCATACTATTTAAAGGCCTATGTTTTTCTCCTTACATGAGTAATACTTTTTAAAGGTTATATCTGAGTTGGCTTCTAGAATTTGTTTCAGCTTGTATCTTTTGTGATTTGACAATGTGGCAAGAGGGTAGTTTATTTCATTACACATAGGACAGATGTTTGCTCTGTACTGATTACGACTCATATTCAGTAAGGTGGGGTGACAATGTTAGTAGCATATGGTGTAGCTGAATAGGCAGCTAAGAGAAAGGTGATTAAGGTGTATGTTTCTCAGTTCCTGAGGTTCTTACTTGGTAGCTGTCATGTGAGATGGTAGAAGCAAACGATTTTCTGAAGTTTCACTGATAATTTTTTAATGTATTTGAAAATTTTAACACATCTTTAAATTAATTGAATGTTGACTATTCAATTGTGATTATTTGCAGTTTTGTTTTGTAGTTTGGTGGTGCATCATGTAAGATTTTCCATTAAATATTTATTGGAAACGGAAGCAGGTTTTTATTTGAAGTTTACTTGTTTGGACAGTAAGCTTCAGGACAGTACTTGCAGAACCAGGTTGCACAGCTGCTGTTAATGCTCCTGAGAATTTGTGGTTTATTTCTTGAAGTTAACTATTTCACTTCTAAGGAGGGAAATTTTCTTGAGGTGCACTGTATAGCATATGCAGCTAATAACAGAAAGTGAAAAAGAATTTAATCTGGTTTAAGAGAAAACATTTGTATCCATACTAGTTAACTGGAAGCTTGTTGAACTATGGGAGTGGTACTCCTGGGTATTTTATGTTTACAGCTGAAAGGAATTCTTCAAACAAGTCTATAAGAAGTAATTGTCTATAATGTTATAGTTGCTTAAGATGATTCTGCTCTTTTCTTAAAAATAAAGTACAAAACTGATCTATCTTTGTAGCACTGTTCTTGCTTTGACCTGTGAATTGTATCAGCTCCAAGTTATTTTGGGCACTGAATTTCTCTAGGTTTGCTGGATTATAGCAAATCATTAATTTCATGGAGAAGAATAGAGAAGTATTAAGTTGGGTTTGTGGTTTTTTTTTGTTTTGTTTTGTTTTGTTGTTGTTGTTGTTTTTTTTTTTTGTTGTTGTTTTTGTTTTCTTTTTTTTGTATGGAAATTATGGCTCTGCCTCAGTTTCCAGTAATGTAATTGTCACTTCATCTACTTGTTCACATAACCAACTGTTTACCTACAACACCATTTTAGTGTATTTATCTGATGAATACAAAGAAAAGAGAATTTACCTGAAAATTACACAGAACCAGTGAGAATGCATAGAATATTTTCCTTTTTGTCATCTGTTTGACACCTGAGAGTGCATTTGTGTAATTGTGACAGATTTAATCTCTTGCCTGTTGAGTGCTCCTCCCTCTAGGAAGCAAATATTTCTTTTTGTGAAGCAACAGTCATTTCAGCTAAAACCCAAGCTCCGGGAGAGCTGCATATATAGAATTCAAGACAGGGGATAGTTTTCCACAGCTGTTGAGTACTTGTGGCAAATGCCTATTTTGCTTTTATCTTGACTCTGCAATAAGTTCTACTTTTGACCCTAGGACTCTTTAAGAGATTAAGATTAGTAGGTTGACTGCTAGCAGTGTATTTAATTATTTTCATTTCTATTTCCATAAAATAGCTTTCATGAAGGAAATTAAATTTGATTAATTTTTCCATATTACTTGACTCTATAGTTTGTTATAATGGAAATTCTTACGTAAATCACCATTTTCAAAATGTTTTTATGCAGAATCTATCTTTTCCTATTCCACTGTAGAAACATTGTTTTTTTCAGTTAAAACCTGTATCACTGCAACACTTGGACAGAGACAGAGACTCTTGGTTTCAATTCTTAGTTCCACTCCCTATCCATTGCTCTCAGTTTTAGGAAGAAGGCTATTTTGAAGTCATTATGAATTTTCAGAATAGAAGGGAAAGTAGTGGAAGTTGTATCAGTGTCACTGCTTGATCCCATGTAGGAGCTGAAGCTTTACTCAATACTTTTAGTTACATTCTTGATGAATTACATACAGTTCACAAAGATAGTAAGTTCATCAGCTGAAATGTATGTGGGCATCCAGATGGATTTGTCTTCCTGGGTTTTATTTCTGTGGTTGGTATTGTTTGCATGAATGATTTTTGAAATGCAGGACAAAATGCTGTTAAGTTGCAATGGCTTAACTGTCCATTTGATTGTCACAGGTAGAGGAGGATGATGATACTGAATCACTCCATGAAGAAGGGAAGGAAGAAGTGAAATGCTATTCAAGAAGAAAGGTATTTTCTAACTGGAGCCGCTATGAGGATACAGAAAAAGAGGGACAGAATGAAGTTGGGGAGTCACAGAGAGGAACAGACTTCAGTGTTTTGCTTAGCTCAGCAGGTAAGCTTTTTCCAATCTGTAGGGCTTTTTAGTTTTGTATTTTGAGACATGGCTACTTTTCTGGCTGTTGTCCTTGATGATGAAACTCCATGCTAGAATACCATTCCTGTCTGCCTCAGTAAGTCTGCCATTTATGTATTTTAGAGTGTTGAAATTCTCCATGGGTGCAGCCTCATAGCATACAGGCTGCACGGAGCTGTGACAGATGGGGAGTAAGAGAGGGATGCTGGCTAGTGCATTTATGGCCTTCTGGTCAAAAGATGGATCTGAGTGTGTGCAGCATCCAGTAACATTGAGCTTATTCTTGCTGATCTTGGTTATTGGGTAGTTTTCCAGGAAACAAAAAAAAGTTGCTGGTTTGACAAAACACAGCAAACAGGCAGCTGCTTGCTCTTGTTTGTTTCAACAGAGATTTGTGATCAGCACTGTAGAAATGTGTGCATGAATAGCAAGTGTTGCTCTCCTTGAAAATAATGACCAGTTGTTTTCCCCTGTTTAGAGGAGATAATAAAGGAGAAGGTGGAGGGACAGTCTGTACTAGATGCTGGGGTTATTCAGCCATATGTTAATAATATGGGGTTGTTACACTAAAACCAGTGTAAAATGGTTTCAGTGTAACAACCATTGCATCTAAAATTATTTTAAAAACTCTTAATATGCCATTGTGTTGGAATACCATTCAGTAAAAAGCTGCAAACAGTGTATTATGGCAGTTTTTGTAGTACCTTGGAAATTCTGCAATCTCTCAAATCTAAATAATTGGATTTTTCAGTCGCAGCTTGGTAGGGTAAGTTAGAAGTTAGCTACATAAAGAAACAAAGAACAGAGATTTGTTTCTTTGTGCAAGAATCAATTTCTGAAGTTCTGTTTCACATGAACATTGTAAACTTGGGCCTAAGCTGTCAGGTTTTAATCACAGTATTGTGAAATGTGTATTAACTTCTCAGAATCTTGTGTTGCACGGAAAACAATGGTGGAGTCAAGGCACATAGTATGGATCTCAGAAATGTGTATCTAACACAGTCTGGGGAGCAAAGTAGATATAGTAATTCAAAACTTTTTAAAGCAAGAGACCTGTCCTGAGCTGCCATGTCTCCATGGTTCAGCTTTTTAATAACTCAATAGTTAGCCTACAGAATGTCTTTAAAATGTTCTGAAGAATAGTACTTTTGAACTGAGGATATAAGAAAATATGTTTTAGCTCTTTTAATTTGTATTTTTCATGAGTTATACTTCAACACATATATTACCTCCCCATTTATTTCACTCTTTAGATTCTCTTAATGCCTCAAATAATAATATTGGAAGGTAGTGTTCATATATTCATCCTATTTCTTAATTCTAAATCTTTGATTTAGAGAGTGCTTTATTTTAGGATATATTGTTACTGTTCTCTAGAGTGAAATAAATCGATAAGAAACTGCAGTGGAATAAAGTACTTTCTTTTGGAGGAAGAAAAAAGTACCTCTAAACAGTAATGCAGATTTCTTGGAGTGACATAAAAAAGCAATTTGTCTCAGCAGTGTTCTTTGTTCTTTAGCTTCTTTGGTTGATGCATAAAAACTGGGAATACAGTCATTTATTTGTAGTGGTCTGAGAAGAAGTACACACACCTGCTTTATTTGATAATTGCTGTTGTTAGTATATTACTGTTCAGCATTCTGAAGATACAGAATAAATTCAATTTAATTGCAACAAGCGGTTAGGGAGTACAGGAGAGGGAATGGAGTTAAATTTCCAATTTTTCATTAATACCAAACCTTTAAAAACTCTTAAAATCTTGTTATTTACTATTAATGCACAACTATGTAATTAATACAGCCAGTTAAGAATTCTTTAGCAAAGGCTCAGATTAAAAACCTGTTCTCCTATGTAACAGTTAGGTTCTATAATATGGAATGCAGGGTCCTAAAGGGAGTGTCATCCTTCAAGATAAAATTTGTCTTATCCCAGAAAATATGCTGTTAATTGAATGAGATAGCATGGAAAAAATCATTTGGGATAATGTAATAAAGACAGAATTAATGCTGGTGACGAAGTTAAATGGAGTAATTGGTGATGTCCGAGGAATTAAAAGTCTTTGGTTCTTATTTGTTTAATATCATTTATAAGTGCGTCTGTGTGTAATTCTTTACTTAAAATCAACCTAAAAATTGAAAATGAGATATTATGTGGTATGGGTGTCATGTTGATAATTAGCAGCATTAGAGCTTTTAAATCTAATGCATAAATATTGCTGTTGCTTAAATTAAGAAAGGAATAAAATTATGCATTATTGTGCTACATTTTTATTGTTAGCAGAGGCAGGTGGAAAGTGGATGTCTCAGGAGGAGAAAAGAGTTTGTAGATACTTGCAGAGAATGTAGAGTCTTTAGGATGTTTTATGTTATGTCTTTCAATAGGTTCTGAAGACAAACACTGTGTTTTTCAGTTTTTGCTTATAGTTCCAGCTTTCTCTGCTTCATGCCAATCTCTAGTGTGGCATTGACTCTGCCTTTTCAATCTGATATTTAGGCCTGACTAGTCCCAGACTGTCTCTTGACTGCATGTTCTTTCTCTGCTATCAGCCCTTGCCTGCCTACTAATTCTCACTCTTCCATCCTTCTGTTGTTTTTCCCGTTTGTTGATTTCTGTTGGTGGATCTTTTTTCAGTCTCTTGTTGTGAGCCAACTCCCTCCTAAATATATTTATTAAAATCCAATTCTTTCAAATTCTGTCAAATGCAGAATTCTTACCAGTCCTAGTGATCCCCAAGTCTTGGTTGTTCTGCTTGGCATTGCTCATTTGGTTTCATTCACTACCACATCTTCTTATGTTCCTCTTAGTTTCTTTCATTCTCTAATCAGCCCCAGTTTATTCTTTCAAGCTTCCAGTTCTGGTCTCTATTATAAACTGTTTTTTCCATCTTTTCCCCACATTCTCTGTCAGTATCCCCAAATTCCTACTCAAGTTACTCAACAATATAAAGTGACAGACCATTGTTTTCAACTGTGTTAGGGATATCACCATAGGTGAGGCTGCAGAAATATGCAGGGTGACAATTTGTGGTCAGTGTTTTACCTAAAGCCTGGTAAATGCAGACTTCTACAGTGGAAAATCTGACTCTCACTCAAAACTGAAAGTAGGAAGAATTTTAATTCAGTTGCCTTGCACATTGGGATGACATGCAGAAGACCACTGAGGAGGTAGATGCGGTGACTGGTTGTTAAGCTTCAGCAGATCTTGTAAAAATTAGGTACAAACTCAGATTTCTAGAAGCTTGTACTTGGCTAAGTCAGGTCAGATTTTTCACAAAATGCACAGAACATACCTCTTTCATGCAAAATCATTGTGCAGTCTGATTTCAAGTTACTGATTCAGGGAGGGAAAGGGGTTACAGTGTCTCAAGTGCTTTCACACAAAAATGTTCAAGTCATTCTCTGGTTCCTTTACAAGGGGATGGTAAGGGGAGGTAAGGAAAAGCCACCTGAAGCAGACAATAGACCATGAAAATTTCTTACTGAATAGTTCAAAAGGCAGCTGAAAATAGTCTTAAGAACTGCCAGGTGCCTTTGATAACAGCTGATGTCACTGGCCTGATGGAGCTTCTTTGTTAGGGCTTATTATATTTCTGTGTAACATAGGTATCCTGGATTCAGATTAAGTTGTTAAGTATGTTTCTTTTTTTCAGCATTTTAAAATGCATGTATTTTAATTGTGTTGAATAAAACAAACTTTTTCATGTTGCTTAGCTGATATAAAATACAAGTCCCATGTGAAGCCTTCAGGGAATGGGTCTTGAATCAACTTAGTAAAAATGCTGTTGAAGCATAAAGAGCAAGAGAAGTGGAAGTGATAGGATAACCTTCCTTTGTGAGCAGAATCTTGCCATGTTTGAAGAGCTGCCCTCATTATTTGAAAGATGAGGGTTAAGTGACCTACAGTAAACTAAGGTTGTTCATCAGATTTTTGGCTGTGAATAGATTGTTTAAAATATATATTTTTAAAATATTATTATAGAGCTGATCAAAACATATCCAGGCACTTGATTATTTTTCTTTAAACGTGGTAGGCATTAGCAGTAAACCAGCCAAAAATTGCCAACATACATACCCTCAATAACAATACTTGGATTCCACGATGATGATTATCAAGATGAAAAAATATAATTTTGGACATGAATTTTTCACATTTGGTTTTTTAGGCCATGGCTGAATAATTCTGGTGCATTAAAGATTAAGATAGAGAAATGCTGTGCAGTTCAAATAAAACTGGGAGAATGGTTTTGATATTGTAATAATACATATAATTTATAATAATAATACATATAATTTCTCTAGGTACCTAGCAGTTAAATACAATAAAAAATGTAGAATAAAAATCAAAACAGTCACTGGAGCATAATCATAATGAACAATAGGTATAGAGATTGTGAGGCAACAGTTACATTCTCTTCCCTAAACACTTGATCTGTTTTTTTCACCTCTTTCTTTTGGGTCTGTGTTTAATTTTGGTATGTCTATTGCAATGCATTGCTGCATTTTTGTCTTTTGCAAGGTCAGTACATGCTTGAGAATTTGAAGTACACAAAAGACCTTTGGCCATCTTGAAAAACCTGAACAGATAAACTTGTGGAGCAAGGCTTGCATTAAAAATAGGTTTTACTTTTCTATCCCAAGTAGAGAGTTTTCCAAGTTTTTTTTTTTTTTAAAAAGAAAAATTTGAGTGAAGAGTAAATCAGTTTTCTTTTTTTAAAAATTACCATTTTTTTAATGGTAATTCTGCTCAAGCAAAAAGAATGGCAATAACGGAGTTCAAGTACTAAATAAGAATCCTTTGAGTTTTAAAATTATAGAGAATAGCTGAAAATTGGTTTTCTTTACAGAAATGCTTAACTCATGGGTGATTTGGATTACTGTATATATCAGTGTCCCATTTTTCAGTGGTACTTGCTTGACAACTCGGCTATTTCTTGGCCAGAAATTGGCCAAGAAGTTCAAATGATGCAAAACTTCTATGTT